TCCCGGCGCGGTGGAACGGGCGGCGCCTCGCAGCGGCCGGGAAATGCGGGGTCCCCCTGCTGCGGGGGCATCGGTGCGCGCGCTCGGGCGTGCAGGCGCGGGCGAGCAGGGCCCGGCCCGACCGCCCCTCAGTCCCGGAGCCCTCCGGGAGGGAAGAGCTGTCAGCGACCGCTGTGGGCGCGTACCCGGCCCCCGAAAGCAGCGCTTCCAGGCCGCACGCTCCCAGACAAAGGCGGCCGGGGAGGGTCGCGGCTCTGGGCTCCGGCGGCGCCACCTGGCTCTGCTCCGCGCGGTCAGGGGACTGCGGGCCGAGCGCCGTGGAGCCCGAGCGCTCTGTCTCCTCCCGGCTTCCCGGCGACACGACGCGTGGGGGGTGGGCGGGGAGGGGAAAGAGGCGGGTCCGGCCCGGCCGCTCTGTCCCCGCGCCGAGGCCACAGCGCCCCCCGCCTGCGCGCCGGGCCCCTGCACCCGGGCCGGAGGCGGCGCTACGCCAGGCAGGAGCGGAGCTCGGACGCCGGCTCCCGGCCCGAACACGGGCTGCGGGGCGGTAGGAGGGGCCGCCAACACCCGCTCTGGGGATGGATCCCCAACGCCCGCGCTGGGGCGCGGCTCCTGGAGGAGCCGGGTGGCCGAGGGCAGCAACCTCCCCGGCGCCCGAGACCGACTCCACCGCCCGAGGGGCCGAAGCGGTTCGGCCTTGTTGCGCTCACGCTGGCGGGGAAGCCTGAGGTTCCTCCTGTTGCCCTCTCTCCCCGTCTCCCCTTCTCGGTCGCAGCCTGTGCTCTGGGGCCCCTTGCTGGCCACAGTGCTCCACCCAAGGGGAAATGGAGTGTCTTGGGGACGTGTCTGCAGGAGACTGAATTAAAAGGCAAGTTTTTAAAGTCTACCTACAGCCCATCGTGGGATTTTTCTTCTAAAATAATTTATCCTCATAACATTTAGGAGCAAAATGATGTCAGGTCCAGTGTTAATGCTCGTTTGGTATATGCTGTGAGCCAGCAGATTAATTTATAGACCCAATTTCTTCTTTTACTTAAATGTAACTTGGTGACATTAATATTAATGGGGTGGGGGGGAGTTCCATTTACCTCTGACATACTCTCTGCCTTCCTTCTACATTTAGCAAACAGTCCATTCAGAAAACAGCGAAGCCTCTCTGGGTCTAGTCAGGACACAAAAGCTCCTCAGGATTCACAGTGTGGTTTGAGCAGAGCACATACTATTAACATGAATACTGATGCTACAACAACAACAATAACAGTAACAGCAATAGCCAATATATATTGAGCCTTTATGTGCCAGACACTGTTGTAAGCCCTCTGCCTGAACTAATTCCTTTAATCTTAATATTACTTATACCCATTTTACAGATGAGAAAATCTCCGGCACAGACATATTGAAAAAGTGCTCAGGGTTCAGCAGCTCATAAATGGCAGTGACAAGATCCAAACCCACATAGTCTAGCTCCAGAGCCTAAGCTCTTTTTTTTCTTTTCTTTTTTCTTCCAATTTTTTAATTTAAATTCCAGCTAGTTAACATACAGTGTAATATTAGTTTCAGGTGTAGAATTTCGTGATAAGAGACTAAGCTCTTAACCAATTTCCTGAAAGCAAAAATAAGCTGGTGTGATAAACTCAGACTTGGAAGTAATGACCATGGTTGGAATGCAGAGGTGGATTTATCAAGAGGCTAGATGCATGAACCCAGGGCCCCTCACTTGCAGAGAACCCCTTCCAAGGCCTTAGGGGCCCTGGCAATGTGAATTGTAAATTTGGCAGAATAACACTTTTTTAGGATTATTTATTTATTTGAGAGAGAGAGCGAGAGCACAAGCAGCGGGGAAGAGCAGAGTGAGAGGGAGGAGCAGACTCCCCACTGAGCAGGGAGCCCAAATCCCAGGACCCTGGGATCATGACCTGAGCCGAAGGCACGTGCTTAACCGACTGAGCCACCCAGGCACCCCAAAATAACATATTTTTAACCACTACCAGTTCAGTCCACTGTCCCAACTCTAACTTCCCCTCATATTAAGTGGCTTTAAAGTGGCCATGGACTTTTTAACAGAGGAAAATGAAGTTCGAGACACATTTTGTTTGGGATTAATGGATACAGAGTCAGGACTAGGGTGAGGTAAGGGAGGTGCCAAGGGAGCAAAATTTAGGGAGGCCAACCTTGCATTTGCGTGACCCTGAGAATGAGTGCCCCTTTACATCTTGAGCCTCAGGCACCTGGCTTGCTTCTCCCTAGCCCTGACCCCATGGGATGTATTTATGTGGTTTTATAGTGCCTATGTCCAGGTGTACAAATGGCTACCAGTGACTCACCTACTACCCTCTGTGGTGTCGTGTTGGTGTCCACCTGAACTTTTCTACATTCCCCAGCACTGGAAGGGTTCCAGTAGCAAAGGAGTAACAACAGATTTTGAGACAAGACAGGCAGAGCCAGATGCTAGTCTGTGGTGATTTTTTTACATCACAAAACACAGCATTGTGAGTGTTGAGTACTAGAGAGCGTTTGACTCTCCCCACTACACCTGGTCAAAATGGGAGTTCTCTCCTATCAGAAGTGTACTCTAAATGTAGCACAATTACAAATGCATCACACATTTTTGGAGGAAATCACATGAAATAGAATAGATAGGACTTCCTATGTCTGTGAGGACAAAAACCTGTACCGGTATCACAAACAGCAAGTTCACCTAAATGTGAAGTGCTTTTCTATTCCTCTCATGGAAGATGTATTACCAAATTACAAAATTGAAGAAGTGGTCAAAGGGTATGCAGCTAGGAGGAAAAGGGGAGATACTGTTCAAGGGGCACAAAGTTTCAGTTTCACAAGATAAATAAGTTCTGGAGATCTAATGTACAACCATGTGACTACAGTTAACAACATTGTATCATATACTTGAAATTTGCTAAGAAGGTAGATCTTAAATTTCTCACCACACACACCACACAAAGGCAACTATGTGAGGTGATGAATAATGTTAATTGCCTTGAGTGGGGGTGAATATTTCACAATGTATCTATGTATCAAATTATCAAGTTGTATACCTTTGATATACACAATTTTTAATTGTCAACTATTCCTCAGTAAAATTGGAAGAAAAGGGTATGCGGCTAAAAAATGTCAGAAAACAGTGTAGGGAGGTGTGTCAGGCAGTTTATTAAATGTTTTCTTGTGGATTTTTCTTGGAGTTTATGGTACTTGTTGGCCTTTTAAATTTTATCACTTGTGATGCAGTTCTTATTTTGAATAAATATTTATTTTTATACCTAATTGTCTAAATGGTATTCTTTCTCTTAAAGAGGGCCCTCAAATTTAATAAGCTTTTAGGCTGTACAAAATTTTGCTCTACCCCTACATCTGGTCATGTTAGTTTTTGTATCCTTCTTACTCTGCTTTACTCCCTTTAAAAAAAAAGTTTTATTCAATTTATTTAAACTGAAAAAAATTTCACCCATTTCTCCCACCCTACCCCACCCCCACCTCTTGCAGCTACCAATCTGTTCTCTGTATCTGGGATCTTGTTTGTTTTTTGTTTGTTTGGGTTTGTTTGTTTGTTCAGATTCTACATATAAATGAGGTCATACAATATTTGTCTTTCTCTGTCTGACTTATTTCACTTAGCAAAATTCCCTCAAAGTCCACCCATGTTGTCACAAATGACAAGATTTCGTTCTTTTCCATGGCTGAGTAATATTCCATTGTGTGTATATATAACACATTTTCTTTATCCATTCATCCATCGAGGGGCACCTAAGTTGCTTCCATGTCTCCATTATTATAAATAATGCCGCAATGAATATGGAGGCACAGATATCTTTTTGAATCAGTGTTTTCATTTTCTTTGGACAAACACTCACCGGTAAGATTGCTGGATCATATGGTAGTTCTATAATTTTTTGAGGAAACTCCGTATTGTTTCCATAATGGCTGCACCAATTTACAATCCCACCAAATAGTGTACAAGGGTTCCCTTTTCTCCAAATCCTTACCAATGCTTGTTATTTCTTGTCTTTTTGAAATAGTCATTCTAACAGGTGTGAGATGGTATCTCACTGTGGTTTTGATTTACATTTTCCTGATGACTAATGATATTGAGCATCTTATTATGTACTGTTGGTCATCCATACATTTTTTGGAAAAATGTTTATTGAGATTTCCTGCCTATTTTTAATTGGATTATTTGAGTTTTTTTGCTACTGAGTTGTATGGGTTCTTTATATATTTTGGGTGTTAGCCCCTTATCACATAGATGATTCTCAATTATTTTCTCCCATTCCATAGGCTGCATTTTCATTTGGTTGATGGTTTCCTTTGCTGTGCAGAAGCTTTTTAGTGGTACTCCTTTTTTGTATGCTGTGCCTTATGTTGAATATTGTCCCATCCCCACTCATTTTGACCCATCTTTCTAGATTCAGCTTAATAAATTTCCTGCAGCCTTATCAAAAATACCCAGAAATCTCAGTGTCAAAAAAAAAAAAAAAGTACCCAGAACTAATTCTTCCCATATTTATAAGAATCTTCTGCAGGTGATTCAGGAAAGCACCACACCACACCATGTATTTCATTCCAGACCAAAAATAGAGAGATAGCCTGGAGCAGCAGAATGCCGACTGAGGTCAGGCACTGCAAGAGGCCCCTCAAAGTGTGTGGCTCCAAATCGAATGATATATTTTTGTTTGTTTGTTCGTTTACTGGCTGTCTCCTCTCACAAGTGCATGAGGTCAAGGACTTTATTTTGTTTATCCCTATACCCCACACTTAGAATCATGTGGGGCAAATAATAGACTACTATTACTACTTTTCATGCTTTTATAAAATATTTTTGGAACACATGAATCAAATCTGACTATGTCTTACAGCAATGAATAGGAAAGACCATTTCTTTGCTCTCTTTTAAGAATGTATTTACCCCTAATGTACCCCCATTTGATTTCAGCACGGCTACAAAATTGGTGCAATGTCTCTCTCCATTATGTCTTGGGTGTAGGAAACCTGAGAAATCCTGGCAATTGCCCGGGCACAGAATTTCCACTCTGACGATCTCGTCCCTATGTGGCCCTCCAACCCAGGTGTGAACTCCACCCCACTCTGAAACCCTCCTCCAGTTCTTGCAGCATCCCACCCCACCCCACTGCCCACCACAGCCAAACACACCCAGACCAGGAGTCTGCACTCCTTTCCTCCTTCCTCCTCTGACTTGTCCCTTTTTATCACACAGGTCTCAGCTTAGATATTCTCCTCCAGGAAGTGTTCCCTGGCCCTCTGATGTTGATGTACTCGTGTTTGCCCTACCATAGCGCCTCCTGCTGAAATAACCTACTGATACTGGCTCTTCATCTCCTAAAAGGTGGAATCCTTGCTTCACCAAACTCTTTAACTCCAACACATTTTTCAGTGTTTTTTTTTTCCCATAAAGTTCTTCTACCTGTTCCACTAGGAAAGATTATCTAATTTTCAAATTTACTAATTATAGTGACTTTATACTTTTTTACTAATGTAGCAAAACCATCTTAATGGAATTTTCACTGTGTACCTTTCACTTTTCTACCTTTTGACATATTCAAGAAGTAAGCTGTAATAATTTTTTAATTAATATATCTCTTGCCAGTCTATAATTTCCATCACCAAATTCAATACAAAGGTATTTTTCTACTATTTATAACATTTCACTATTTACCCATCTTCCATAAAAAAATAACAACAGATAACCAAATCAGAAGTGTATGGTTTCCGGATCTTTCATGTTAACAGGTCTTATAGCTATGTGTGTTTATTCTTTCTTTAAGCCACAACCCTTTGCCTTGGACAAATTGATCTCATATCTTTTCCTCAGCTGTGCCCTAATTTTTAAATGTCCTGTAAGAATCCAAGAGACTCTTGGAAGAGAAAATTACTTCTCATAACTGAAGATTCTGAGTTGGGTTGTCTATTGCCAACAGGACACTACGGCTTCCATTTGAGGCTGGGACGATGTTTCCCAGAACACCCTTCTCCGTGTGGTTCCAGTCTAAAGATGTCCGGTAAGAGGAGCTCCCCGGGGATTTGGAAGATGGGAGGGTGATAGAAGAGGATCATATGGCCAAGCATGATGGCAGACAGAAGGGCCCAGCGTGCCTTCACGTTCCTGCCACTCTGTGTGCACCTCATCTCCCTCACAGCAGCCCCCAGCCCACCGCCATTCCTGCCCCCACACAGGCTGCAGCTCCCACACTCCACTTCTCAAGCTCCCTTTCATGGCCACATCTGCATGGCTACTGGGTTCTCTCTCAAGCTCTAGCTGGTACCCTGCGCCTGCTAGCAACTCTCTGGCAACTTGCAAACTCATGAAAGTTCCCCTTCTTAGCCCCTGTACATTGGAGTGGCTGTTTTCCTGACCATACCCTTCCTTAGTCTCTGTTTACCACTGGGGATGACATCCTAGGGAGAAAATTGACAAGGAAAATAATCTTCGCATTTTTCACTAGAAAACATGGGGGAAATCATATAAATGGCACCAAACCATTAGCTGGTCCACCAGTGAGTCCTTGTCAGCAATCACAAAGCCCTGAACTCTTCCATCAGCTGGTATTACAGTAAGGGGTCCTGAACATGGTCCAACATGTTGGTATTGGTGCCCCTGTCTCCAGATGTCCTGTCATTTGCCATCACCCTCTTAATAAATAGAATGAATAAATTAAGAGCTCACATTAGGAGGATGACATTTTCAGATGTGAACATCAATCATTGATTTTGATTGTAAAAAATATTTCTGAAGGTCAAATGTCTGTATTGTTTCTACTGGCCAGATTAGGCTAGGCTGTGGGGCAGTGAGAAGTAAACTCAAAATCTTAATGGCTGGAAACATAGGAGTTATTTTTTGGTCATTCAAAATTCACTGCAGATCTAGTGGTTCGCCAAGGCAACTCTCTTCCAAGTGGTGACTCAGGGATCCAATCTGCTTGTGTCTTATAACTATGCCACCTGGGACATATGGTTTCCAGGAAAGAGAATATGGAGGGTCATGTGCCAACTATTAAATGCTTCATCTTGGAAATGACTCCCAGAGCTTACAGCTCTGTGTACCATGCATTTCTGTGCACGTACCCAGGCATGCAACAGCGATTTTGTAAGAGCTCAAAACTGGAAACAATCTAAGTGTCAAAACAGTAGAATGGATGAGTTAATTTTGGAATGTATGTTATACTATTCAGTCAAGAGAATGAATGAACTGCAGATAAATACAACACTAACAAATCTCACTGACGTAAGAAGTGAAAGAAGCCAGATACAAAAAAAAAAGCATAAACTATCTGATTTGATGTACAAAAAGTTTAGAAATGAGAAAAACTAAACAGCATTAGATGTCAGAATAATTGAGGATAATTGTTACATTTGGGAAGGAGAGGGGCCACGGGGGCTTCTGATGTTCAGATATGTTCTGAGTGGTGGTTACACAGGTGTTCACTTTATACTACTTAATTATTATACCATATTTTGGTTTTATTCACTTTAATGTATTTCATTATATTTCAAAATTATAATGGTTTAAAATATTCAAACCTACAAATTGTATTAAATAGGACCAACGGTTATTTGCATTTTAAAGAACTGTTTGCTTTAGCCTAGCACAGTGGTATACATATTGTACACCTTTTGAATGGAATAACAAACTCTTATAGTAAAATTTCAATGTGGTTTGATTGGCCAAAACCCTATTTATACAAAACTTTTCCACATATCATGAAGTACTACTGTACATTATTTACATCTCTAATAGTTTTTCTTTTGCTTTTTTTATTATGTTATGTTAATCACCATACATTACATCGTTAGTTTTTGATGTAGTGTTCCATGATTCATTGTTTGCGTATAACACCCAGTGCTCCATGCAGTATGTGCCCTCTTTAATACCCATCACCAGGCTAACCCATCCCCCCACCCCCCTCCCCTCTAAAACCCTCAGTTTGTTTCTCAGAGTCCATAGTCTCTCATGGTTCATCTCCCCCTCTGATTTCTCCCCCTTCATTTTGCCCTTCCTACTATCTTCTTCTTCTTCTTCTTTTTTTAACATATAATGTATTATTTGTTTCAGGGGTACAGGTCTGTGATTCAACAGTCTTGCACAATTCACAGCGCTCACCATAGCACATACCCTCCCCAATGTCTATCACCCAGCCACCCCATCTAATAGTTACTTTTAATATAGGCATCATCTTCCACAAGTGCTGTTTGTGGGTGTTCTAGTATTTTTAACAAACTGAACTGGTCCTGCAGGACTGTTGTGAAAGAGGCGAATGGCAATTTATAGACATAAGTTCCTGGAGGGAAACTAAAGCACCAGGGAGGGCCCTTGGAGGGACGACAGGCAACTTGACACCAAGAGGTTGCTGGGGAAGAAGCCAGAATTGCCATTCATGTCATACACAGATGCCCGCCCCCCCCCCCCTCAGTCTTGGTTTCTCTTCCTCTTTAAAATCCCCAGTTCTGGGTCTTCCCAGCTGTTGCAACTCTGCCACTGATGAGAAACACCAAGTCCATTTCCTTAGACCTACTGCAACATTCCGGATTTGCCCTCCCAGCTGTTCTGACCCCTTTGATAGAAAAAGCCTCCTTCCCAGACCTTTGCAGCAACTGATATGCTTCCAACTTCTCTCCCCAAACACACATCACAGAACCTCCCCAGGTCAAACATTTTCCAGCTGTCCAAATCCTTACAGATGATAAGAACTCTTTAGAAACCCCTCTTAGCTATGGCAAAACCTTGACCTCCTCTAATTTTTCAGCCCTCCTTAAGATAAGAACTGTTCATGTCACCATTTCCCGACAAGTGTAATCACCCAAGCCGGCAATTCTGAAATAATAGGACTGCCCTATTGTGAATTTAAAACCATTTTTATCTATTCATTAAATTAATTCCATAAACATTGATTGAAGTCCTTTGTTAACTTAAGGATTTGTTCATGATCAAATATTTTGTTTGAAAATTTTTTCTGTAATTCTAAAATGTCATTAATTCGGATGGCTTTCTAATCAGTCAAAATTGGAAAGTTGTAAGTCACATTAAAAATATTTTAGGGGCGCTTGGGTGGCTCAGTCTTTTAAGCATAGGACTTTGACTCAGGTCACGATCTCAGGGTCCTGGGATGGAGCCCTTCAATGGGCTCTGCACTCAGCAGGGAGTCTGCTTATCCCTCTGACCCTACCCCTCTCCCCCCACCCGGCTCGTGCCCCCCCCGAATAAATAAATAAAATATTTACAAAAGTATATTTTATAGAGTTATCCCTGCTTGGAGAGCCCTTTCCATTGTCTTTACCTAATTAAATCATAAGCATTTTTGTAGGTTCAGCTAGAGGTATTGCCATCATTCTGGCCTCTGTGCTTACCGCCTTGGGAAGTGCCTTCCTTGGTATTCTCATCCCTCACAGACAGCTCTCCGCTCCCACGAGCTCCACGAACATGGAGCGCAAAGAGAGGTGCACAATATCACCGGGGAGGATTCCAAAGCTGGGGGGAAGGGCTCTGTGGCAACTGCCCCTAGGATTGCTGCCACTACACCCTTCTGGAAATGATTTCTAGAGCTCTGCACCTCCCAAGCATGGCAGGGAACCAGATTTGGGAAACGCTAGGTGAGAAATGCTTCTGGGCTCTTCCTCCCTAGGAATACAGACTGGGCCTGGTTGCTGTTGGGATCCAGTTTCTGTAGAATTTGAACTCTGCCCTTTGGGACTTGAGAGTGAAGAATGAATTCCTACCATATATCCTAAGGGAGTGCCTTCAAATTCATCAATCTGAAATAACCCAGAAGATGAATATGAGCAGCAGGAAGGATTTTGTTGATTAAAAATATTTGTTTTCTTTTCCTTTAATCCTTGTAACAGTGGTCTTGAGATTTTAAAAGCAACTAAAATCAAATCAAATCAAATCAAATGCAGAGAAAGACTATCAGACAAGAAAAGACTCAAAAACCACCAACCAAAAATGGGTAACTTTGCTTTGTTCCAGGAAAGGAAATGAAACCAATCAATTTGATTCATCTGGCTTCGGCCCATATCTGTTGAATGCTTCTGTGTATCAAGGGGGATATTTAATGTCTAAAAGAATGGAGATCAACATAGTGAAAGAAGAGCCTCCAAATCATACATATTTAACATAAATAAAAACCTTACCTTATCTTAGGAGGGAACTTCAAAAACAACACCCACTAGATTTAGATTAATTCAAAAGTTCCCTTTGAAGCCACCATGGGTGTACCCTTTCTTCCCAGGCAGTGGGGCTTTCCTGTCTAAATAAGGGAGTTGTGTAGGAGGAATTCCATTAACTCACTCATTTAGCAAATATTTATTAAGCACCCACTGCATGCAAGGCCTATAGTGGTTGAGGGTAATGTCAATCAGCACAACAGTCGTAAACCACTCCTTCCCAGAGCTGCACCCAAAATAAGTGCATATATATCACGTCAGAGGGTGAAAAGCACCACAGAGGAGGAAAAGCAGGGGAAGGGAATGGGACGGGGGTATGTTCTAATCAGGTAGTTAGAGAATGCCTCACACAGGTTACATCTGGGCAAAGACTTTGAAGGATGGAGGTCACTAAGTGTTTGGGTGTCTGGGGAAGGAACATTCTATTGTGTAAGTCATAGTGAGCTACTTTGATTCATCATGGAATGAGGAAGGAGCATTCTAGGCAAAGGGAACAGCAACAGCAAAATCCGTGCTAGCAGGGACTGTGTCAGTGGGTCAGAGACACAGCAAGGAGCTTCATGTGCCTAGGAAAATGTTAGCAATCATCTTCCATGACCAGGCATAGAAAAAATGAAAAAAGGATAAACGCACATAGGCCATGGTAGACGTGGTGTCAATTCTTCATGAACTGAGAGCTGCTGGAATTGAGATGGGTAGTAACACCATCTGACATAGGCTCCCAGGATCCCTGGGGCTACAGATGAAAAGCAACTGTCAAGGACAAGGGGAGCAGGGAGACCAATTAGGAGATGAAGGACTTGACCAGGAGTGCAGAGGTGGTGTTGGGAAGGTTTGGGACATACCTTGAAGGTAGAGCCAGCATGATCCTCCTGGTGCACTGGGTCTGGGGTTTGAGAGTACACAAGGAGGCAAGACAATTCCAAGGATCATGGCCTGACAAACTGAAGTTGTCATTAACTAAGATAAGGAAGACTCCAAGGGGCTGGTTCAAGGAGATAGATTAAGAATTTGATTTGTACCTATGAGGTTGAGTTGCCTATGAGATGTCCAAGAGCAAATATTGAGTAGACAGTTGAATATATAAGTCTGGAGTTCAGAGAGAGGTGCTGTCTGGAGATGTTAGCACATGGATGAAGGAGAAGAGGGCATTAGATCATCAAAGAAGGAGTGTAGACCAAGAAGAGGAGAGGACCTAGGGCTGAACTCTGGGACTCCAGTGTCTTTTGTTTTTTGTTTTAAGATTTTATTTATTTATTTGACAGGGAGAGACACAATGAGAGAGGAAACACAAGCAGGGGGAGTGGGAGAGGGAGAAGCAGGCTTCCCGCTGAGGAGGGAGCCTGATGCAGGGCTCGATCCCAGGACCCTGGGATCATGACCTGAGCCGAAGGCAGATGCTTAACGACTGAGCCACCCAGGTGCCCCTGGGACTCCAATGTTAAATGAAAAGGAAAGACATTTAAAAAGCTACAAATATTAAGAAAGACCAAATATCAGAAGCTGGGAAGGGAGAAATGGAAAAGTAACTGCTAAGTGCACCACATGTGTGAGTAAGAGCTTATCTGCATGGGTACCTACCATCTCATTGCACGGTAAGTCATTTGGCCCCTTTTGAATTTGAAACAATCTGTCTCCTTTATTTATAAGGTGGCCAATAATAAACACAATACGGCACTGTAGCTACCCTATTTACAAACTGATTGCTTCATTGATTTCTGGTTCTGGGTTGAATGTCAGGGAAGGAAGGGATAACCAAGGTTGAGATAAAGTCTGGACAGTCATGGGGGAGTGTCCTCAGCACACAGCCTGGAACCAAACAGTCTGCTTTTCTTTGTCCAGCACACCCACAGGATCTGCACGTTGATCTGGTTGTGTCAGTAAACAGACCTGCCCAGAGTTCATTTTGCCTGATAAAATCCACGTGTGTTCCAAGCTTACTTAAGGGAGAGCAATAGGGGTTTTGGGCTCCACTTTGACTAAAAATGAAACTCCAGTCAATATCCTTTTAAAAAGCATTAAAATATGTTGTTTATCTTAGGAAGAAAAACGTTCTCTTGGATCCTCTGAAATGTGTGAAGCTTTTGTAGTCACTGTTTTGGAAGACAAGGTAACAAATTCTCAGTCCATGGTGGGAGTCGGGAAAACAGAGATGACATGGAGGCATCAGTGATCAGTGACTTGCTCTGCAAAGGACTGTGGAAAGGATTTGGGTGGCAGAGGACGGGAGGATATAAAGTTACTTCATTAGAAGGAAGCAATAGTTACTATTTATTATTTCCCTAGAGCATGTTCTGTTGGGGGTGGGGTGCAGGAGATGGCTTTCTGGTCAAATGAACCCACATGTGAGCCCAATAGTGTCACACACCTGTGCAAGTCATTTTACTTCTCCAACTTTGAATCCCCTCATTTGTAAAGTGTGTGGATTAGTTTGCTGGAGTTGCTATAACAAAGTACCACAGACTGGGTGGCTTCAATAACAGGAATTTATTTTCTTACAGACCTGGAGGCTAGAAGTCCAAGATCAAGGTGTAAGCAGAGTTGTTCCTTCAGAGGCTTCTCTCCTCTGCTTGTAGATGACTGACTGGTTCTCCCTGTCTTCATATGGTCTTCCCTCTGTGCTTGCCCGTGTCCTCCTCTCCTCTTCTTGTAAGGACAGTAATCGGATTGGATGAGGGCTCTCCCTAATGACCTCATTTTCTCCAGTTACCTCTTTAAAGAACTTATCTTCAAATACTGTCACATTCTGAGGTAGAAGGGGTTAGGGCTTCAGCACATGAATTTTGGGAGACACAATCCAGCCCATAACAATGAGGACAATCTACTAGTAGACAGTATTATATTCTGTTTTGAGTATGTATTATGTATACATAACAATATGTATTAGCTATTGAGAATTATGTCTGATAACAACAAAGCTCTGTTTTTTAAATGTTTATTTATGTACACAAAATTTTTTTTGCTTAAGTGCCCATAATCTATTAGGAAGTCTCATAATTACAATGTGAGACCAGAATAGATGTTTACAAAAGCATACTTAACTCTAACTTATTTAAGGTATGGGAATACTTTAATGTAATTTTGTTTAAGATTATTTCAGTTGTCCTTGGGAGCAAAGACTCTTCTCAAAAGATGCAATAACTGGGGCACCTGGGTGGCTCAGTCAGTTAAGCATCTGACTCTTGGTTTTGGCTTAGGTCATGATCTCAGGGTCATGAGATGAGCCCCATATCAAGCTCCATGCTGGGCATGGAGCCTGCTTAAGATTCTCTCTCCCCTTCTCCTTCTGCCCCAACCCCCACCCCTGCACTCCTGCTCTCTCTCTCTCTCTCAAAACAAAACAAAACAAAACAAAAACCGATAACCAATGCTTCTTGGTGAAGCATTAAGGGAGAGAGTGCTACCGTGTTAAGAAAAATTAAGATAAATCATTTTTGGAGATGTGATCCAAAGGGCATAAACAGACTGGCCAAATTGAATTTAGCTGTAGTTTTGCCATTTGTTAATTGTGTGACTTTCACCCCCAACAAATTTTCACTCCCTTCTCCTTGACTAGTGTGGTAACATGCTCCAGAGACACAATACTGTGGTAATGATTTTTGGGAAACACATAATTTTATGAATTAAAAATTCAACAGTTTTGTTTTTTCTCTAGAGAATCAAGGCACAAAGTAAGTGATCAATAAACATTGGATGGATGGATGGATGGATGGATGGATGGATGGGTAAGTAAAATAATACAGGACATAGGAAGATTTTTTTGAGTCTTACTTGACCTAAACTCTAGCCAAATACTGATGTCGCGCATGAAGCCAACAGGAGATCTCACTCCTCCTGCTACTCTCCCTTAACCCCTCAAGGTAGGTGCCATGGAATTGATGCTATTAAAGGCTAAATTTCAGGGTCCCTGGCTGGCTCTTAATCTCGGGGTTGTGAGTTTGAGCCCCACATAGGGTGCAGAAATTACATACGTATGTACCTACATACATAAATAAAGTTATATTTAGTTTTAAAACCACACTACCTTTTGTTCTATTGGACACGTAGCTGAAGCTGATTTAGGTTGGTCTTGCTACCAGGTCTGGTGTAATGCTTGCTACCTCTCAAAACCTGCTTCCCCATCTAGTAAAAGACTCAATGCCTCCCACATTAAGCTTTCAAGGTCATCTGCAATGTGGTCATTCCTAGGGCATGTCCCAGGAAGAGATGTTCATGTCCTTCTATGACCATTCTAATCTTCCCCATTACACTTTGGTCTC